TAATGTTTTATTACAAAGGCAAGCCCACAGGTCTGGTTACCAGCGTCACTTTGGACAGCCCGCACACTGAGAATGGGGGTGGCTATTCGTCTTCCTACCCGATCCGGTTGTCCCTTGTAATGGGACAAGGCCCTTTTCCATCTATCACCGGGCCCTTAATTTGGGAGCAGCCGGCCAAAATGAAATTCGAATATTCTGCTAATCTTATCAGAAGGCCGTGCCATGGAGTCTTGAGATGTTAAAAAGTGCTGGGTTCGGCCCTCTTTCTCACAGGGTTATTACATCCGGTGCAAATGAGATTGGGATCGATTCAGACGGGATCGATTAGGACCATTAGGCGGGCAAAGCTATAGATGTCTAAGTGCATCTGTTCTTCAACTGACTCGGCCACAATCTTCAATTCAATCGCTGGAAAATAACCCAAATTGGTGCATTAGTTAGGCGTTTAGGGTATAAATGGATAAAAAGAAAATATATTTATTAGCGAGATTGATGATGGGCAGGATTGTTATATTCGTCTATAGGTTTGTCGGTGAATGATAGTCGGCTACCATAGGATATAGAGTACCATGGTAGCCCACCATTAGGTTTAGGGAATAGTTTCTGTTTGCATGGATTCGTCAATTGAAATTATAGATACCTCATCGATTTGATAAAAATGATGTGTGGATGGTTTCGACCAATACCGGAGAAAGTATAAGAAACTAAAATACAAACATACAAATAGAAAATCGTGCCAAAGGCTCTAACCTAAAAATGCGGAAAAGGAAAACAGTATCAAAAGATACCGAAATATACATATTTTTTACTTCTCCAGTTCCTTAATTCACTTGTTGTTTTATTGAATATTGAACTTCTTCAGCTAATTAATTGAAGTATCTGCTTATTATTTGCATAACTATATTCTTTAAATTTTATATCTTAAAAACAAATTTTTTTATAGTTAAAAAAGAAGACACAAGAAGATGAATTTTTAAAAATCCTATTTCATAATAATAATACAGTGTTTATTTTTAAAGAATTACATATTTTACGCATAATTATAATAACATGATACATTGTGTTCGTCAACTAAGGGTAGGTCTCGGTCACCATTAATCTGAAGATTAGCTGTAGTTTAAAAAAAAATTGAAAATTTTTGATTCTTCTTCAATATAAGCAAAATCTAGTTATAAAAACAGAACAGCCCAAATTTTTCATTTTTTGCATGATTTTGTTCATGCGTTGGACAGGACTAACAAGGTAACATTAGTTTTGACGATGTATCACGTTATTTATGGTAGAGTTTTTCTACAAAATGTCTTTTCAGTAATCAATTTATTTTTTAAAACGGAACTAAAAAACAACTTGTTTGTTAATTTTATCATCCTTATTCTGTATACAATGCTAGGTTAATTTAGGTTTCACTTACTGGCGGCAATATTAGTCTATTAATGTTTAAACTGAAGTTTTAGCCCAGCATCGATGATTAGATGTCCTCGGAGTCGAGATTTACCCTTTTTTGGCATATTGCGTGACCTCCGTAATGATCAGGTATTCTTAGTTCCTGATGAATATCCTTATTCCGTAGGTACCAAAGGGCATCAACAATGTTTCTTCGTATTTTGTTTTTGAAATTTTTGAAAACAGCTATGCTACTCTTTTTAGCACAACGTCATAACTGTATGTCATAAATCCGGATAGGTTTAAAGATCCTGTTATAAATGAGGATTTTCTTTTGGATTCGGGAGTTCCTTCCCCAAAACCAGCCGATTTGCAAATTCTGTTCTTTTTTATGTGTGCACTCCATTTCATTTAGAATATAGCGTCATAACCAGATATGTCACCGAGTTTTATGTCGGTGCTACTTTTCCCTTTATGTTGATTGTGCTATGTGTGATTTTTCTCTTTGTAATATTAATGTGTACAGACCTATAATAATTTATTTTAATTATTCAATCTTTTGCCAATCCGATCATATTTTGCAGTTTTCTTGTCGATGCTTTAATAGTATTTTACAATGACAGTGTTCCAGTTTCATCATCTCTGGGGAACACCAATTTATAAATGTTCGAAGTATTCGTTTTCCTGCTTTACTCAGGAAAGTTTCTCTGCAGAAAAAGAGTAGTTGTTTTTACTGGGTTGGGGGGTTTTTTTTTTTTTTTTTGAGTTTATGTATTAAGCATATCAGGATTACATCCGGAAACTCTGCTCTCTTACTTTAGCTCAACGTAGGTCTCGGACACAATTAAAAAAAAATTTTCTATCACTGTTCAAAAATTAAGTAATAATTATAAAAATTTCATTTCTTGACTCACACTAAATAATATGCATTTATATTTAAATAATTAAACTTTTTTTCTTATATCAGTTAAACAAACAGAAATGCAATTGATAAAAAACTCAAATACGTTTTTCTTGTTCCATAAACTAATTACTAATAATCAAATAATCACAAAACAAATTAATATATAACTAATTGACAATAAATTTACATATAATTAAATTAATATAACGTTATTATATTATGTACGTATCAAGAATTATATTCTCTAACCAATAATCTACGATATTTAAGAGTCTGCATGTACACTGGTACAATTTTCCTAATTTTTTCCGTTTATATATTTCACAAACTCTTCGTTCTCAATTGACATTTTACCAATCCAATCCTCCTGAAACCTCTTAAAACTGGACGCGTATTAATAAAATGAAAAGTGTCCTCAACTTCTGCAAAATTAGGTCGAACTCAAAATCATAATGTTTTTTGAAAAAAAAAAAATCAAATAAAGTAAAAAAAAAGTAGGATTATACATCTAACACATTATATCTAACGGAGAGCGGCGTAGCTCAGCGGATCCATCTTTTTTCAAATTGGCCCTTCGTAAAAGACGTTTTAGATGAAAATGAGCACAAGTTTCAAAGGCTTTTCTCCAGGGTGGATTCTACTCTCACTTTCATACAAATGTACTCTATTCCCTTAACTGGAAATTTCTCGGCGCATGAGGGAAATGTGAGAATTTAACATGACCAGCCTTAGAACTTTGTCAAACTATAATTCTACGGATGATCAGTCGATAAAGGATATACCGAATTCGGGAACACAAAGACCGAATTCGTGTGGAAACGCGAGTATCAAAGAAAAGTCACGTGTGATTAAGAAATATATAAGAGTCCTTACAGAAACTTCAATAAAAGCAAACCCAATTGTGCTAATTCTAATATACCTTACAAAAAAAGTACGGTATCTGATTAGACGGGAGTGAACCCGATGGCAGGCGCATTTGAATTGTGGCTCATTAAAAGTCCGGTTGGTCCGACTCAATTTGCCCAGGCTACTTGAACAAATTGAGTTGCCGAGAAGAGTGACGGGAAAAAGAATGAATGGCACTTGAGTCACTCACAACCGGAGCTTAACTGGGCAAAACCCTAACCAATTTCTAGAACTTTACAAGTCCTCTGGAATTTATAACTTACGGCCAATTGCTCATTACAGACAATTACGTCTTCGTTTTACCATCGGATTAACCAAGCAATTAACATAGTAATTGCTTACATAATTATAATTTTTATACTATAATAGAAATAGATATACATTTGTACCATTAATAGATATACATTTTCAATTAATTAATCTTTTTATGTAAGGTTTCGGTTGAAATGAAAAAGTTAGTGTCACGAGCGGGATTCGAACCCACGACTTTCGGGGCAGCCGAAAAATTTGAAAAATGGCAAAAAAGGAGGGGAAATGCGAAAGGTTGTAGGTTGAAGTGGGGAGTTGATGTCCGAGTGGTTCGAAGTCACGATAGCTCAAGTGGTAAAGCAGCGGCGAATTTAGCCGAAGGTCGTGGGTTCGAATCCCGCTCGTGACACTGACTTTTTTGTCTCAGCCAATACCTTTAATAAAAATTAATTAGGTAAAATTCATCATTTGTTCAGATTATGTTGATTATTGGGTTCGAATCCCCGAATTACACTAACTTTTTCATTTCAACCAAAACCTTACGTAAAAAGATTAATTTAATTGAAAGCAGTAATTTGGTCAATCAGACCACTAAATATAATTGATTATTAATAAGGCCATTAATGAGCACCAATTAGAAAATTGACCTGTCTCATCCTGCAGAATACGATAGTTATAAAACGAGTTCACTACCTTAAATATTTCCACATCGTCAGGAATAGCCAGAACGAAGGAAGACAAACTAGAGGTAAAGAGTATACAATATAAAAAGTATTGGGCCAAGGTGGAAACCATGGGGAACACGTGAAGTCGCAGTCATATCGTAGGAATATTCATCAAGAATAAGAGCGTTCATCTTTCTATTATATAGGTAGGAACGAATCTATTTAAAAAATCTTTTTGGGCAATCTCCTTGAATACCTAGACAGCTTAACTGTATGGTCTACACAATAATTCCTCCGACATATGTAAATAACATAAACCTGGGACCCACTTTCTATATTATTGATGATAAATTTAAAAAGCAACAAATTCTGGTAGTTACCTACGAGAAACAAACCATGTTAAGCTTTACAAACCATAGAAATATAAGGGATTAATATTATTTCAGAAATAATATTTAACTAGTGTTAGTTAACTATTTTTAGTTCGTGTGCAGGGTGGGATTTTTCAAATCTTTCCAATCATAAAGAAAAATGTTTTTTGTCAACATTTATACTTCACATACACGACATTTAAAAACGATCTATTTTGAGTAATTTATTAATCCTATATAAATAAAAATGATGTGTTCCTCTATATTTACATGCCATGCATATTCATATTTTTTTAAGAGGCTGAAAAATCCTATCGAAAGTACAGCTATCCATTAGGTATAATTTATATTATATGTTCAACAATTTCCCTTTAGATTAAAAGAATTAGACTTAACTTCTTGGTTTGCTATATGCAAAGAATTCAAATTCTGTATTTATTAAATATAATAATTTTGTCTTCTTTGCTACAGAATATGCTATATTAAAAGATATATATAATTTTTTTTTGTTTTTTTTTTTAGGTGTGGATATTCGGCGACCTTTGGTGTTCCGCCTGGCTTGCGCTGGACGTTTGGATGTGCACTGCATCGATTCTCAACTTGTGCGCGATTTCACTCGACAGGTACGTGGCAGTGACGAGACCTGTCACATATCCGAGCATAATGTCGACAAGCAGAGCGAAGCTGCTGATAGGCCTAGTATGGGTCTTGTCGTTTATCATATGCTTCCCGCCTCTAGTCGGGTGGAAAGACAAAGAAATGCCTCCGGTCGTAGAAGGCCCGGGGAGGCCTTTGACACCCGGAGGTGCGACTGTCCTCGCTTCTCCGACTCTACAGTCGACGGCGGAACCGCCGTGCCCGTGGAGGTGCGAACTGACGGACGACAAAGGGTACGTCATCTACTCCGCGACGGGTTCGTTCTTTCTCCCGATGTTTGTTATGCTGTTCTTCTACTGGAGGATATATAGGGCGGCCGTACAGACGACCAGGGCCATCAACCAAGGGTTCCGGACGACGAAAGGAGCCAAAGGCGGCCTAGGAAACAGGTTCGACGAGCAAAGGCTCACACTTAGAATACACAGAGGACGTGGTTCCGTCATGCAAGGTAGTGGCGGTAGTAATTCGACCACGACCACCAACTCAGCGGCGAACTCCGTCAACAACTCACCTTGTGGAAAGTCTCCAGACAGAAGAAAAGAACGGAGACACGAGAGGATTAAAATATCCGTCTCGTACCCAAGTTCCGATGCCATAGCATCCGTAAATAACAATTCTCCTCCACCTTCTAGTCCGAAATCCTCGATATCTAGCTCCTCGACAACTAGCACGGGGGCGCTTTACGCTGTTCACTACTCGGGTAACGAACCCAGTTCGGTTTTCCGAAAAGAAAACTGCCATTTGAGAGTGGCGTCTATAGGACAACAGAGACGAGGCAGAAGGTCCAATTCCGAAAGCGGCGGTGCTTGCAGGCCGAGGCTTCTAGGAGATCCCCTTAGCGTCACCATACAAAAAGATCTTTCGCCGTCGCCGACTTACGAAGAGAATAAACCTAAACTGATTTCCAGGATGGGAAAGAGGAACATCAAGGCCCAAGTGAAACGTTTCAGGATGGAGACAAAAGCGGCCAAGACTCTCGGCATCATCGTCGGGGGTTTCATAGTGTGCTGGCTCCCATTCTTCACGATGTACCTCCTCAGAGCTTTCTTGGGAGATGTCGAGCCCATGGTGTTCTCCGTACTCTTCTGGCTCGGCTACTGCAACTCGGCGATCAACCCTTGTATATACGCCCTGTTCAGCAAGGATTTCAGATTCGCGTTCAAGAGGATCATCTGCCGGTGTCTGTGCTATAAGGCGACGGAAAAACGCGGATCGTCGCGCTACACCCGCAGAGGATCGGACGCCTCCCATCTCGGTGTGAGGAGGGGCGAACAGAGATCCGCATCTCTCAACAACAACGACCTCTCTGCAAACCAGCACCACAGCGATTCGGACCCTAACAACGAACCGGGCTCGGAATCCAGGTGACTGGTGTCAGGCCTCGCAGCCGCGCACACCTCCTTGATGCACATGTCTTCTGTATTTGTCTAAAACGGTCGGACAATTTTATATCGAATTACAACCTCGCCATTCCGTGCCCTCTAATTTACGAGTTTCTGTTTTTTTACATTTCAGCTAGTCAATTATCATAGATTTTGGTATTATCGTTAGCGTTTTATTGTGTATGTTAAGCAACGAATTTAATTTTTGATTTTTAAAAAAAAGAGGCGCTGAGAATGGCACGCTGAACAAGGTAATGAGCCAAATAATTCAATTATACCTGTTCTGAGACTAAGTGCACTTCTCAATTAACCGTTGGATTTAATATCGTTTCAATACGTATTTATTCTTAATCAACAATAAATTTTAAACCGTCCGACAATAAGAGCCAAAATCCTCCTGATGTACTGACACGCGCATGAACATATTATGAAAATCGTATTAAACAGAGTATAAAAAATTAATTCTTTCAACAGAAAAACAGAAATCACATTAAATGTCCTTTGTCAACACATATCCTTTCTTTAGTTATGAAAGTCAAAAGTATTTTATTATTTTCTCATTCAAATGAAAGTCCTGTTTTACTAGTTTCGAGACCTTTTCCAGACTTCTGGCGTCCGTCTCATTTTCGCTCTTGGCGTTTATTTAACAACACAAATATAATTTAAAACCTGAAGGCTCTTTGCAAAGTGGATTTATTTTAAGATACCTGATTTTACGGATTTAACATCTGTTCACACTAAACGGAGAAAAACTGGACTCCGTGGGATTATTTTGATCCTACACTGATCACGGGCTATAGCTGCACATAAAACAATCTATACAAATCATAAAGAATCAGAAAAATATGAATTTTTGAGGAATAAGCGTATTAGTTAAAATTCAATTTATGTTCAAAAATAAAAATAAAACAGAAAAGAGAATCAAGTATTTATTTTAAATAAGTATGAAGCATGAGACAATCTATTTAATATTTTTTGAGCGCTTTGAATTGAATAGTTATATTTTATGGGTACAATAGTTCTGTTTGTTGCAGCAAGAAAGCAATTTAGTTTATAAAGTTTGATGCTTAGCGACCGGTGGCTCAATAAGTGGTTGAAATATTGAGGTCTGATCGCTCCTCTCTATTTCAACCACTTATTAATTTATAAAAATTCAAACAATCAACATTCATGATAAAAATTTAAAATGTTGGTTAAAAACAAATCGTGTCAAAATGCTACTCAAAATTAAATCTTGTTAATCTTAAATTATTGTTGTTATCGTGGTAATAACCAACAGGTTTTACTATGATTTATAATAATAAACAATTAATCTTTTTAACAATTTAACTGTTCATCAAATAGGAACATTTATGGAAAAATTAAGGGAATAAATGAGACAATTACAAAGGGTATGATGTACGTTTTATTTATTTCACCTGGTTATTTTTTAAAATATGCAATGCAGTTAAATTCTGCTTTCAATAAGTATGATAAATTTAGAATAAACATCGTTTATGCAACATAAAACCAAATGTCCTTTTTTATTCAAGAAAAGGGGGTGTCAAAAAAAGAGTAAAATGTGAGCGACCTGCTTAGAATAGTAAATGTTGAGTGCTATCACTTGACATATGCGTACATATTCTAAATAACCTATACGTTAGATATTAAATTAGTGATACGGAAAAATAAATAAACATAAAGATTATTATATTGGAGTATGAATTCAGAGAGAATTTATTTAATAAAATGGTCAATTTATTTATGTAAACTTTTACGTTCCATGGTTTAATACACGATATATAAAATATGACTGTTATGAGAAGGTTTTCCTTATCTGAAGACTGAATATTTTAATAATGATAGAAATCAGTTATGAAATGTTTAAATGCACATAGTTTCACGAAACGTTATTTAAAAAGCGGCAATTTTTATTAGTATCAACGGCCTTAGAATAACACCATTCTATTTTATATGTCTAAACGTTCATATTTTTGATTGAATATATTTTTTTAAAGATTCGGCATTTGGTTTAATTGCATTTGTGTTTTTATTTTAATAGCGTGGTACAAATAATTGTTAGGTCAAGATGGCTGTGATTTTAGATTTTTGCTCTACAGGCCTGGAATTTGGATTGTGATAAATCGTTTCCTTTAAGCTTATTTAATTGCGTCCTTTTATTTATGTGTGCGGCTGTTCAAGTGAGAATGCTAAACTACAAAGAGAATTTTTAATAAATATACAGTCGGGAAAAAGTACTACCATGGAATTTCCAAATTTTAATATTCGTCGAGTCAATTTGTAAGGTAGTAAATAATTGCAAGTCTTGAAACGAGATGCTTAATTTACAGATAATGAGACATTGTAATAGCAATAAACAGAACGTATTGATTAATGGTCAAAACAAAATCTGTTTACGGGACAGAGAGATTATTTTGGTTTATCCACGGGTAATCTGCATCTTGAAAAGGTCTGTATGAAAAAACAAATTCAATTTTTATCTGCCAAGCTGTCCACCTATTTTAAGGTCATCATTAAGTCTACAAATTGACTTAATTGACACTTCAATAGTGTTAAATTCCTTGGCAATGTTGGGACTGAGTCTGTCTTCAAAGAAAATCAAATAAAACGCTATGTCTAGTCAATTTGTAGACATAGTTAAGATTGTTTTGCCCTTATGATGACCTTAAAATAGGCCATTTGACATACGAATTGGATTTTTTTTTTCATCTAGACCATACCTAAATTCGGATTATTCGCGAGTAAAAAAAATGGTCGATTCAAATAATACTTTAAACAGAAATTATGGTTTTATGACGCCACAATAGCACTTTAAGCGGTAATATTTTTTTCTAATGTACACAAACAAATGAATTTAAAAAGAGAGCATTTAAGTATTAAAAAAGAAAAATTTTGAAAGTATTAAAATAAGTGACTGCATTGGGTAAAAATCCTCAATCTATTTTAGGTTTTAATCGTTCGCAGCCGAATGCAATATCTTTAATTGACTTTATTGACCTTTTAGAAAATGATTTGATATGAATTTAACTTATTTTTCTATAATGTATTTAAGTTTAAAGTGTAATATGCTTCTTTTTTAGTCCAAAAATGAGTAAACGTTTTTTGTTTTGCTAATAAACTAAAAGCTCTGAACTAATATAAAGTATGAAGTTCGTGTAGGTAATTTTCTAAAATGATCGTTTAAGAATGATAAAATGTTGGTTATTAAACAGTAAAGTAATAAATCTGTCTTAATTGTTCCTTTGTTTTATTATTTACGTTACGACAAAGCTAGAGCGTTACAAATAACTGTTGAATTTATGAATTTTATATTAAGAGAATTAATTAATTACAAGTCTAACACAACACTGTTCTCTTTCTACACTAGGGAGGAAATCGCGAAGCAATTGGCGCTTTAGAGGATTATCAAGGGTTTGGGATTGGGATGGGAAAGGTAAGGGTAAGTGAGGGTCTTGGGGTTAGATCCGAAGTAGTAAACTTTGGCAATAGTACCAAGGGTTTTGGACTGGAATGTCTGGATTCTTTAGACGTTAGGTTTGATTGTCTGTCACAGTTCAATCTGTATGTCCAAATTGGTAGTGACCATTTAAACATCGCTACGAATATGGCGTTTATCTTGTAGTCAGAGGTTCGATCTGTTGTCTGGTCGCTTTTTGAATAGTTTAAATATTCTGTTGAGTTTTATTTTTTTAAAGTCTTTTGAAGGTTCCAAGTAAGTCTTTGGTTGCAGTACTCCCAAATATTGGAATAGAAACAGAATTGCAGGTTGGAGGAGAGGATGTACATCGAAGGGTAAAGGTTATATGCTGTGATTCAGTTTCGTCAAGTCTGATCCTTCATTTATTTCACCAGTCTTAACATTTTTCCAAACAGGAGAGTTAGTCCTGGACGTTTCTGAAGTCCATTACTAGGTCTGGGTTTGCTGAAATGCCTGGGGATTGATAGGGAGCCTACACTGAAGATAGAATGGGACCAAGGGTATTGCCTTGCGGAAAACTTGCTTCGTTGTTGATGGGGAAGAAGGATGCTTGATTTGTAGTTAAAAGTACCTGTCGGAGATGATTTAAAATGAGTTAATAAATTAATGATCGACTTAAGTTTTCAAAGAAGGTCGGGATACAACACTCGATCAAATCCTGCCTCCATATTTATTGAAGTTTTCGTTATAAAACGATAAAGAGTAAAATGTATTTCAACCATTTCAAAATAAGTTATTGCATGTTTTTAAACTATTTCATGTAGGAAAAATTTTTGCTTTAATTATCACACTATAATTTATAAATAATTAATTACTACACTAAGAAAAGTGTAAATGTGTGTATTAAAAGAAGAAACCTTTTAATATATTTAAGCTAATGTGTAGCCAGTTATGGTCTAGAGATCGCCATGACGAACATATCACATTCACTCGGCCACATAATACTCTTCAGAATTACGAGGCGATGAGATCCACGCATAAAGAGACTTTCACCATGTTATATTACACGACAGTACAGAATTACGAAATAAAATATAATAAGACGGGGAATATTCAATTTTCTTTTTGTAACTTTTGTTCTAAAAGCAACAAATTTTTTATCAATTATTAGAGAAGAAAAGAGATTGTATCATTGGCTTCCTATAAGAAAGAATATATTCACTCACTATCCCAATTTATCTTGAAGTATATGCTATTTTATTTTATCCTTAATCCAAAGAAATAATGAAACGATACTTAATTTTTTCGTTGTTCAGAAAATTTCGAAGGAAATATGAAAACGCTTCTCATAGTGTGAAATCGCTTACGAAATCGAAACTATTGAGCTGGTGCACTAGTCTCAGGTCAATTTTTAACTTAGCAATTATTAAAATTATATAAACAATTTTAAAAAACACAAGATTCGGACACTGAACGTACGTGTAAAACAAATAGGAAATATATTTAACTATAAATTTAATGTTGAAATTTTATTTTTAATTTTTTTATGCAGTTGGTAAGAGAGTTATTGGTTGTAATGTACGATGATTTTTTTTAAATTAACAGCTCTGATGTGTTCATTTAGAAACTGAACTTTGTACCATTTTGTTAAAAAAGTGGTTATTTAAGTAAGTTTGTATCAAATTGATCCATCGTGATGACTTTACACTTTTAGTTAAAACTGTACATATTTTTGATTTTCTTTTTTATTACTTACTAAGTATGAGGTTGAAATTGTGATTGAATTTTAATTTATTAACAATTAGATTACGTTATCTTCTTTACAACTAATGTAAGTTTTGTGCCAAAGTGTAAATATGTTTTAAATCCTATTTAATTTTTCATTTGTTGACAACAAATAAGAGAGAATTTGTTTTATTTAATATTATTTTGTGTTCAAGAGGTACATCAGGGTACAGCTTTTATTAGTATATGAAAATAAAAATAAAAAACGCAAAGAATACAAGAGGAGAGCTCTTCCCAAAACGCAGCACATTGTATATACTTTTTTTTAATACAGAACAATATGCTTTAATAAAAAGTGTGGTCGTTAATTAAAACATGCAAATTTGCCTTATTTAAATTGAATATTCTTTGAAATTCGTAATGAGATTAAAAGACCTACTTACATTGTTAATTAGCGTTATTTATTAAATTGTTAGATGGCGTTGTAAATATATTTTTTACAAACTACTATTTTATTTTAAGAAGAAAAAACTTGTAAATAATCAATCCTTTTGTAAATAACTTGTATGTTTAATATAAGAGTATTTCCTGGTTTGTAAAAAAATGACAAATATTTTTCCTAAACGTCTGCCTACAAAATATACATATGTAAACCTTGCGAATGCCTTGTCAATTTAGCAAGTCGTTCTATTCGCTGTAAAATGTAATCTATTTTCGTTGAGTGCTATTTATCGAAAAGAAATAAATAGTTATAAACCTAATATATATAT